CGCCCCTTTGTCTGCGGGAGCCCGGGCTCGGGGAGCAGGGGGCGGGGTGCTCTCCACGCCGCCTTGGCTCTTTTCCCAATTTTTTAAAAAATGTTTAAATTTTATTTTATTTTTATTTTATTTTTTTAGCCCCTCTCCCCGCTGCTGCTTCGCTCCCTGTGCCGGGGAAACCGCGCCGAGCTGCCTCACCCCCCCACCCCGCTGGCTCCGGGAGGCAGCGCTGCCACCCCCGCTGTGCAGCCGGGGGGGGGTGGGGTGGGTGTGTGTGTTCCCCAGGGGACCCCCCCGTGCTCCCCACCGCCCCAGCGAGCCGGGGGCAGCGGCAGGACCCGGCCCGGGGCTCCTCACACACACACGCTTTGTCTGAGCCCGCACCCCCCACCCCCCCCAATCTCATGTTTGAGTTGCAAATAGTGCAGGGGGGGATGTTTAACCCGAACAAGCTATCGTATTCCTTGACTTTCAAACACGAAGACAACTCTTCTAATTAATTACCAGCACATTTATTAAAACCCTCAACTCTCAGCCATTAACTCATTGGCAGCAAACTCCTGAAAAATCACTGATTTTCACTGGTGGCTTCCATCCAAATCAGCACAGTTTGGAACAGCCTCTTTTCAAATCTGGTCTGAGTTTTCTTCCGAGATCCTCTCCCCAGAGTTTGGCGATTAATTTCCAGCCTGGCTTTCCAGATAGCCAAAACCGGAAGCCGAGACTGGGACGAAGGGAAGCTATTAACCTGGATGTCAAACAAATGCAACGCTAATCTCTTCCAAATGTAGCCAAGTGGAGATAAAGAAGAAAGAGCGACTCTACTGGCATGATCCTTCATTTTCAATGTAGGAAGGAGGATCCCTCCAAAGAATGAAAAACAATTGTTTAATATTCCAAGGAAAGTTTGGTAGGCTTTTTTTTTTTTTTTTAAGGAGGCACTTCTTTTAGCCTGATGTGCTGGCCCAGTCTGGTTCGGTGCGCAGTGCCCGCTGTCCCTCTGGCAGGGCAGGGGAATTATAGTGTGATCCAAGAGGCAACAGCATCCATATGCCCCAGCCTGACAACCAGAGCTACATCCTGCCCTGGGTGTATTTAGGAGCGTGCCGATTTCAGTCCGCAGCTCTCCATACCCTGCAGAGGTGATTTCTCAGAATAACTTTCTCATTCTTTTAGTTCTTCGTGAAGCTTTTCTTCCTGGTCTCCCGCTAGGTCTCCAACAGCACCCACTGGGCAGGAATCACAAGGCTACTGAAAGGATTGAAGTCCTGCCAGGGATAATTTTGGTTGACTCTGTACTAGTCTGCCTTGTGAGGTCAGGTCTGTAGGTAGAGGACAACAGAGGAGTTTATTATATGTGTATAATTAAAGCTCCTAGCTGCAGCCTGGCTTTTTTACTGCGTAAGAAAAAGCTTACTTGGCCCCTGGACACTTAGGAACAATCACTGCAGCTGCAAAGCCAGCCTCATGTGTGGGAGGTGTTGAAGCAAGTACCTACCTCTGCAACAATCAAAACAGCTGATGGTAGAGGTAATTTTGATAGCAGGAAAACAAAACAAAACCTGTAAGGCAGGGCTTGGTGAAGAGCATGTATCCAACACACACACTAGTGGGCTGTGAGTTGCGGATGATACAAACGTCCTGAAACAGGACAGGGTGCATGGAGGGGACCCGGACACTGGAGGTACCTAAAGCTAAAAGGGAGCTTGCAGAAATTAAAGAGGTTGAATTTTGTGCTAGAGCTGGTGCTTCCTTCTCCCGCCCCTTGGCACTGCTGGGAACCACAGCTAGGGAAGGACAGACAGCCAAGGAAGGACAGACAGCCAGGGCTGAGGCTGCTGACCCCCACGCAGAGGCTGACACTACCCTCTGCTGGGGACCGAGCGTGGAGCTGCTCGCTTTGCTCTGCGAGCTTTTATCACTTCCTTGCATGAGAGAAGCCTGGGAGGTGACTGAATGCACTAGAAAGATAATAACCGAAGCAACATTATGCTTTTTCACCCCAAAATATCTCTGTAACTAGATACAAGGAGACTGGCAGGCAGCTATTGCCAGCGGGCAGCCACCGCAGCAGAGGGGGTGGGAGGGGGGTACACGGCGGGGGGAGCAGAGCTGCCCCAGAGCATCACAGTCTGGCATGGAATAGGCAAAACTAGGAAGGAAGGAAAGAAAGAAAGGAAACTAAATGCACGAACACGTGCAAGGAGATGGTAGCCTACAAATCAACCAAAACACACCTGGGAAATGACCACATTTCACAGAAAAGTGTGTTTTCTGTACTGTTTGGTGTTGCTCCTGGGAGAAGAGCCGACTCCCCAGTCAGTGTGTGCAGAGACACAGCCACCACTCTGCCCCTTTGGAGCAGCCATCTGAAAACATCCCGTAAATACAGGGGCTGTACCGCCAAGAAATCCCCATCGCCAAGACAGCCGGTGTCTGTGGATTGCCATTGCCACCTTCTGGATTAGACCAAGTGTGCACCAGCCTGTCCCAGACCCGCTGCCAGCAGCCCGGAGGACACCCAGCTCCAGCTGGAGCCAGGGTCCCCAGAGCAGGAGCCAGCACGGCTGCTGTCACAGCAGAGCTCGGGCACCGCCAGCCGCTGTCAGCAGCCTACGTGCCATTGACATCACGCCCTTTGATTTTGTGATCTCCTTTCACCAACTATTTTAGGAAACCTGTGCAAGTCAGAGCTCGGCACACGCGCTGCTCAGCAGCAGCTCTCGGTCACCAGTGAGGGACAGATCACACAACCACTGAAGTGCTGCCGTATCAAACTACCAACATCCGCTGGGTACAGGCAATAATTCTCTGGCTCATCTACTGCTGTAAAACACCTGAGACCTGCCCAGACAACTTGTACCCTGGAATAGTCACTGCAATTATCCTCCTGCTAACGGAGAGCTCATGTCTTCTCCCCTACCCCCAGGCATGCCGCCTCCCAGACCCGAAATGTAGGTTATTGCCTCCTGCGTGTAAAGGGAGAGCAGGAAAATGAACCTGGCGCAGCTCGATGCTGGCAGGAGGGATGAACTGGATTCTCTTCTTGTACTGGTGCAACGGGAGCAGGCAGCCACAGGTTGTCTTTGTTTAGCCTGGAAAAAGGCAGCGCCTGAGAGCGCAGCTCCGCTGGGAAAGGGCTCTCAACTCGGCTACCAAGCTGGCATTGCTCTGTGGAAGAGTCTTATTTACGGGGTCTGTGATGCTCCAGCTGTGCTGAATACAAGTAACAGCCTGTTCCCAACACCATCATCACGCTGCTGGGACACCTCACTACCCAGCCTTCCTCCACCGCAGTCCACCCCCAACAGCTTTCCCATCAAAACCAAACAGACCCAAAGCGTCTCACAGTCCTAAGGAGCTGAGTAAGGGGAAAATCTTCCAGCCCAGCCGTGTCTTACAGCAGAGGTGAGGCCCGAGGCAGTTTGCAGGGAAAGCAAAGCAGACACAGAGAGTTCCTTGGGGGATGGAGGAGTGGAACTAACCATTGGCCCGGCAGCACCGGGGTTTCACCTCATCTGTTCCATTGCTGCTGCTTGCAAGGTTTATTTGGGAAAGGCCCTGTGGGCAGACATCTCAGGGACTCACGGCGAGGGGTCAAGTGGATGGTCAGAGACAGTTGTTGGTTTTCAGAGGTCTGCAGTTTCCAGTCCTTCTTCTTCCTTTATCTTGGCAACATAACCACTCCACTGACTGGCTTCTTCTGTTATGCTCTGAGTTCAACGATAACAGAACCGGTAATTTTTCAGGGAAGACCAAGACACCTCACCCGTGCCAAAAAACTAAATCTGGTTCTACTAAACAGTTTTGCATTTTTCTTTGCAGCTTCCACAAGGTGGGGCTTGGACTGGCTCCTCTGTGCTACCGGGAGGTGGATTAAGCAGCAAAGTCAGGACATTTCTAATAGTAAACTTTTTAATAATGTAGTCATTCTTTTTTTTTTTTTTTTTTTTCTTCTTTCTTCCCTCTTCGTGTTTGGTCTCAGTCTCATGGGAATAGGGAATTGCAGCGTGGATCCTATCAGATGGAAGTAAACCACCGCGTCTTGTTTGTGTCGGCGAAGGCCAAGCGGAACGGCGGCAGAGCCTCGAGTAGCTCCGCAGCAGGATGTGCTCCTTCACGGGAGATTAGATGGCGCTGCATTCACGGGAGATAAGAAGATTGAGAGCTTAAATTTAGCACCCTCAGAAAAAAAAGAATAAGCCTCACAGCTCTCTTCAAAACGTATTTGTTGCTGTGCTCGCCGGGCTAAGGAAACGCGCAGACAGGGATGATGAGCGGGGGCAGAGGGGGTGCTGCTCCCTCACGCTCCCTTTCCACGCAGCCCACGCTGCAGATGCACCCACGCGGCTGTCACGGCAAGGGTCGCGTGAGGCTCATGAGATGTCCCCTGCCTGCCCTTCAGCCCACGGACCGGCAGCCAGGGCTGGGAGCCACCCCCACGGCACTTCTCCCACGGGCGGTGCCGGCCGGGGTGGGCAGCCCCAGGCTCCCCCACTTCACCCCCCCGTGCTCCCAGCTACGCCGCCACGGGGGCCCCTTTAAAACGCTCCGTGCACCCAGCGCCGACTGCCACCCGTGGGATCCACGCACCCAGCGTGGGGAGAGCCCCATTTACCGTGCCCGGAATCCTCCGCACCCTACTCGGGGGTGCTCCACTGCCCTGCCCCGACCCCACGCACCCCACTCGGGCAGCCCCACGGTTGCAGCCCGGCCCTCCCCCCTTCCCCCCCCCCCCCCCCCCCCCCGTGGAGGCGGCTCTGGCTCCTCCCGCCGTGATGCGCTCGGGAGGAGCCTCCGCGGCTGCTCCGCCGAGCGCGGCCGGGGCCGGGGCCGGGCCGGGCCGGGCAGCGCAGGCACGGTGGGGCCGGGCATCACCGGAGCGGGGGCGGAGAGGGGGTGCAGGGAGCCCTCGGGTGGGGTGGGGGTTAGAGATTGAGGGAGGTGCCCCACGGGGGGGGGGGGGGGGGGCGCGGAGGGGGAGGAAGGTGCGGGAAAGCCCCAGGGCGCCGTGGGAGGGTGCGCGGTGCTAGTGGAAAGGGGGCTGGGAGGGAGGTGGGGGGACACGGTAGTGGAGGGAAAGGGACCCTCGCAGGGCAAAGACCCCCCGCTGCCGGGCTGTGGGGTCAGTCTCGCTGTGCCTTCCCCCCCCTCCCCCTCCGTTCCTGGGGGGGGGGGGTGAAGCCCTGAAGCGGTGCTGTGGGGAGGCGGTGGGCACCCCAGCTCGGGTACCATAGCTGGGGCTGGGGGCAGCATCTTCTCCTGCATCCCTGAGCAGGTGAGGTGCGGAGCCGCCGTCCATCCGTCTGGCCTCAGCGGGAAGCACTGGTGGAGAGTTCACGCGCGGGCCTAGGGCGCTGGTGACCTCTTAGGTCTGATCTCTTAGGGCTGCCCTGCAGCTTTGCGATCCGTTCTTCAGGGGAAGCAAAACTCGCCCAGAACCGTCCTGCCCGGCTGCGGAGCAAGCCCACTGCCCTGGAGCCGCCGCTGGAACCTGCTGAGATACTTCATGGGCTCTCAACAAGAAGCAGCATCGTGTGCGTGTGGTCCCTTCGCAAGATGAAACACGTAGCGGCGTCGCCATTGGATAAGTTTTTGCAAGTCCTGGCTTGTTATTTAAACAAGACCGGGCTGCCCGTTGTGATTTTTGGGCGCGCGTACCCCTGCTCCCTCTCCTGAGCGGTGCTTACACCGACCAACAGCTCACGTGTCCCGAGGGCTCTCCCCCTGGGGATGTTTCCCCTTGAGCTCAAAGAAGCAGCAGTTGACCTGGACCGACCCAGCGGGGTGTATTTTGGAGCTGCTGGGAAAGAGCTCTCGTGTTTGGAGCTATTCTTGAGCAGATGACTGAGAAAGTAATGAATGGGAGGGTGCCCCTGCCTGAAAAAGCCTTGTCCGAGGGCTACGCCCGGCTGCGGTACAGGGACACCTCCCTACTCATCTGGCAGCAGCAGCAGCAGAAACTGGAGTCGGCCCCCCCCAACACTTACCTGAGCCGGAGTCGGAGTATGTGGTACTCACAGTACGGCAACGAAGCCATCCTGGTACGGGACAAAAACAAGCTGGATGTCTCCAGGGACACTGGGCAATCTAAGTTTTGTGCTATTATGTAATTTCGGCGGGTTTGCGTTAGAAATCCACGCGTGGAGACAAACCAGACTTGCACCGAGCCGGAGGAGGTGGGTTTGCACCATCCTCACGGCAGCCCCGTGGCTAACGCGGTGTGTAGGCCAGAAGGGCTGTCAGCAGTTTACGTTTGTTTTCGCTGTTGGTAGCATCAGATTTTGCATGTCATTGTGCGTAACAAAAACAGTCTCACTCGGGAACTCGTGAGCCTGTGTTTGCTGCCTAGCATCTTGGCAGGGTCCATGCTGGACCATGTGTTGCTTGTAAGTGGCTCGTGCACCATGAGAAACACCCGCTGTCATTTGGGAGCCAGCCCCAGCAGGCACTTTTGTTTCCTGGACCTTACGCATTGCCAGAGCTCTGCGAGTGGTGGTGGGAGAAGTGAGCGCAGATCCCTTTCCATCGAGGATGAGATTTTGGGAAGGCGATCTGCAAAATTATCTGGCTGTTACTTGTTCCGCTCGCCCTGTCTCCCTTTAATTACTGCCCTGGAAGTGGTCTCTCACAACCAGGTAATGAAGTGATTTACTGTAGAGGGGAAGAGGGAAAGAGTATATGGAGGATTTAATCCGAGCCTCCAAAACACCTGGCAGGAAAGGCGGGCGGCAGCTTCATGCTGTGCAGAGCAAAGGGCCCTCTCTGATGCCACAGTTTGGTGCTGTGGAAATAACCGACGGGACTTTGGGAGTAGATCCCCAGTCCACGCTGCGGGAACGAGCACCAAGTGAACCATCTGAAAGGGAGGGACAGGCCCAGCAGAGCACCAGGAAGAAAGCTCCTGTAAATACAGCTCCTGCTAGGGGACGTAAAGGAAACTCCTACACAGCACATACCCACCCCCAGAGATCAGTTACAGAAGAAAACAGTCTACTGAAGTTTGCTTTGCATCCAAGTTTTAATGCATGCAGTAGCTTGGGAGGGTTTATCTTCTAATTGGGGTTGGATAGTAGATTTGGTGCTTGTATTTTCAAAGTTGTGTTTGGGAGTGTTTTGGCTAACTGAAGGATTTTAGGAGGGGAAAATATTACAAATGCAGTTCTTGGGAATAGAGAGTGTTTTCAGGTTGTTTCCGTTAAGAGCTGAATCCATTAAGAGCTCAAGGCAAGGTCAAGCTGAGAAACTCAACCCAGCAAGCACCTAAAACCTTTATTAAAAGCAAAGCAGTAGCACTTCTGGGGTGCTAATTACGTGCCCAGGGTTCAGCATTAAAGTGTAACATTGGGCTCAAGTCATAGACCCGCCTAGGACGTCCTCGGGCAGCCCCGCGTACCTAATCCAGCAGCGCTTAGGTACAGGCTTAACTTCAAGCAAATCGGTATTTGATGCTGACTTCAGTATGGATTATTTACCTGCCTAAAATTAGGCATAGTCATTAATTCTGTTAATATTTATCTAAAACCTCTTCTGCGTTTTTGAAGCACTTTAATACAGTGAAGGAGAATCTCTTCCACCTCTCCCGCGTGGGTTAAATGCTCCAACACAGACAGTCACGTTTGCTGAACTCAGTGTGCTGAGCGGAACACACCACGTTTTAACACAAGATCGTAGAGGTTTGACGCACTCAGCCCTGATCTGTAGCACGTGTATGCACTGCAAACCATAGGCAGCTTTTTTTTTTAAAAAAAAAAAAAGTACTATTTATGCATGTGTTGATGTTTGGTACCTTACACTCGTGCTCATAAAACTAAATGTGCTGATGGACCTCAGTGCTTCAGACCTGCACGCTCCCACAGCCCTCGCGATCTTGCCAGGACGAGCTCTGGATGGGAAAGATTTTGGTGAATAAGTGGTTTTCAACTGGGGAAAAAGCATTTAATGAGATTCGCCAAAGTAGCAGGACTCAGAAAGCTGCTGGCAGCAGTTCTGGGCTCAGCTGATGGGGCTGTTTAAGGGGAGGAGGTGAGGCTGAGAGCTCCCCTGGGAGTCGTGGGGGGAAAAGACCTGGAGAGGGGGCTCAGGGCCTTTCCAGCAGCCCAGGGGAGCATGCGAACTCTGGGAGTTTAAGGAACAGCACATCCCCAAAACCAGCTGTTCCTTTTCTTTACTTTTCTTATAGAAAAAAACATAGGTTTGGTGTTTTTTTTTTTTTTTTTCTTAATTTCAGTAAGAAAGTTGATTATTTTGGGTATAATCAGTCTCTTTGTTTATGTGGCTGGTAAACCAAAATTCAGTTATTTGAAGAGTGTTAATTGAACTACACAAGAATAAAAACTGAAGTATGTGCATAAATTCTTCCAGGATGGGCATGACAGTACAGGAGGAGTGAGACTTGTTCTTCCATCTCGCTGTGAATGTATTATTTTCCATATCTGTGTGTCCTTATTAGTCACAGCAGGTTTGTGGAGTGGCTGCTATGAGCGAGCATTTCAGTAAGCCTGTTGTGTAGTGTCGATGCACTCGTTTAAAACGCTGCTGTAGCCTCTTTGATAAAGTGCATTAAAATGATTTGAATGCATCGTCGCGAGCAGCTGTTTTTCTTCTGCGTGTTAATCACTCTGGCACATGTGAGGATTGCAGCCATTATCACTCCCAATGCAGGCAGAAGAGGGAAGGCTCAGCAGACAGGCAGTTCCTCCCAGTTGGGGATTACCTCGGTTACTGGTGGGGCCGTGGGTAACCTCGCTCCCCAGAGTCCCACCACTTTACCTGTGGAGATCAGCCACGTGCAGAGGTGGATCCTTGGGGTTCCCCAGCCCAAGAGCCCTTGCCAAGTCTCAGCGGTGCATTTGGGGATGGGGACACCTGCAATAACCACTGTCGATACAGAAACCAGCGTGAGCCGAACCTCGACTGCCTTCTGCCTGTCCTCATCCTCCTCCAAGTCTGCAAGAAGCAGCACTGCTTCCTGCCCCTAGAAATAACTCACTAGTAAACGCTAAAGAAAACATCCTCCTGTGAGGCAACTGCCTCACGGGAGATTTTGAGAGGATAGGTTGAACAAGCATTTCCTTTGGGGGTATCACTGATACAACACACAGCTACACCGACACGACAGCTAAGCAAAACAGGTTTGCTGAAACCTTACAGACATCATGGCTTTTAAACCCAGCGAGCAGGAGCAGGGTTGGAGAAAGATTAACCCTGAGGAAACCTGGCTGCTGTAACCCTTACCTTATAAATAAATCATCAGGCATGCTTCTGGGAAACCCAACAGCAAACCCAACCTGAATCTTCTCCAGTGACCAAAATAGATTTTGGCCACCGTACAGTAATGCCAAGACTCTGCTGTGACTGTGAGCAGCTGCTCTGGGCCCCCCCTTTCCCAGCTGTGTCTTCCACGTCCCGGTCACCCTGGGCTCGCTGTCCCGCGGGGCCAGCACCGGCTCGTGGAGCGGGTCCCCTGCCAGTGCTGGTGAGGAAGTCTCTCTGGTTCCCTTCAGGTCCTGGGGGCTTGGAAGTAGTCAGCATTAAACATGGGTGAAATGTCCACCTCCTCTTTTTTCAGCTGAACTTACCTCCATCAGATGCAATTCCCACATAATCTAAAACCCCTCCACAGACAGTAGGCTTCTAGAAGTCCTTCCTTCGCTGCCCTGCTACATGAAAGCAGCCCGAGTATCTCCTTCACCAACAGAAAGGTGTATTTGGAGCACTTCCACGCCAGGTACTGAACTGTGATTTGGGGACCCCAGACCACGCTGGCAGTGCCCCAGACCTGCCCCCTGCTCTGAAGGCAGTTTGCCCCGTTAGCGTGGCACTCCATCGGCGCTAACAGCTGCACTTGCAAAATGACTTCCAAATTATTTCAGTACTCATGGCACTAGGTCTCTTCGTGTATTTATGTTTATGTCTTGGTAATGCCACTCAACTGACCGCTCGATCAAAGCCCTACAAGTTTTCAACTGAAGCAAGAGCAACACCTGAAAAAGAAGATGAGGAGAGGGAAAGGGAGAGGAGAGGGGAAAATACGGGATCAAACTGCACACACAAAACAATTTTTCTTTTTATTATGAAAACAAAACAAATGCCCCAGGACCAGGGTCCATGATTACCAGTAACATCAAAGATTACTTTCTAACTCTTTTTTTTAATTGTTGTGTTTGAGGCCAGCAATTTGCAATAAACAAGCTAAACTACTTACATTGACTCTTTTCAGTAACTGACATTTACAGGAATATACTAGAAATGGCACTAAAAAGTTTTAAGAAAAAGTTACGGTAAATTTGCATGCACATCATACAGAAAAGTAACTTTTTTTAAATATTAAAAACAAAACAAAACAAAACAAACAAAACCAAAAAATACAACAACAAATCTTTCTGGATTGGTTATGCCAGTATCAGGGGTAAGTTCTAAGTGGCCTGTGTCAAATCCTAGCTGGTGGTTTATTTTTAAAAATGACATTTAAAAAGATATGCAAATATCATTTCTTTAAAAAATGTATCTCATTGTTTTACAAGCAAGATAATGCTGCTAGTATAATGAATCCTCGCCCTAAATTTATCTTCAACAATGCAGAGCCTGCTCACAGTTAGCCCTAGTGGTAACTGCTCATGTTTAAGTCTTTGTAAAATTCAGTATTAAAAAGGTTGTGGTTTTAGTTTGTCATGCCCCAATCCCTTGCCCCTAGCTCCAACCCCAACTTTAAAAAACATCATTCCTTTCAAAACAAGGAAAAAATTAAAAACTGGTCTAAAAGTCCCCAAAACAGAGAAAGAACTAGATTAGGTAACTGCAGTCTGCTTCTACCACATAGAGAACATGGAAAGAGACCTCACGGGGTAACTAATTTGTATATATACACGCACACACGTGCTTGTGTATGTGTGGGTGGGTGTGTGCACCTATTATACACACACTCGCTAACAACAGTTACAGAGTCCTGAAATATCAGTTCTACAGTTACAAACCCTGTCGGTAGGAAAGGTTAAAATCACATCAATACAAAACTGAAATCATTTTGTATAGACAACATTTGGTTAGCAGAAAACTGTTGGATGCAACAGATTCTTTTAGTAGATGGATCAGGGCCAGAGCCCACGGGATGCAGATCTCCCTCTGGTCCCACTGAGCCTACGTCTGATGGTATGCCAAAAAACAGGCTGACCTTACAATCAGATAAAGTTTAACAAAGTTTTTAAAGGTGCAGTAATGCTGGTTGATTGATAGTAGGTCTGGTGAGATGCTGTATTGTCAAAACAGTTTTGTCAGAAAAAACAGTTTCAATAAAACTATTTGTGTGTATGCATACATATGAAATCATACTGATTTCAGTGACGTTTCCCCTGGAAAACAAAGTTAAACTTTGTTCATTCAAGAAAAATTCTACCATAAAAATTTCATTTTTTTTATTCTTAAGTTTAAAAATGCTATTTCAAATGTTATATGTTTGATCATTTTAAAGTTATTTCATGACATCTGTACTGACATGTCATGCGATACAAACTCAGTTAAATAAATGCTCTATTGTTTCAGTTTCCAACTCATTAAGGGCTGCTGCTACTTACTATGGACTGAAAACATCTCTTCTTTCCTGGAGACACTCTCATCTGGAGATACAAGAGGCACCACTACTGACATGTCGAGAGATAATGAGCGCTACAAACAATACGAAAACGAAGAAGTGTAAGAACAACATTTTGAAATTAAGCCACCAATTTCTTTCCTGAAATGAAGGTCGTGCCAAAATGGACCTCTCCTGTGAACTGCCATTTCCCAGCGAACGCCTTACTTTCCACGAGAACAGTTTCCCACTAGAGCTGCCAGCCCGGATATATCAGAGACATGCAGGTGGCTCTTCATATTCCTCGGTGGTTTTGGTTGCTTGTTTTCCTCGCAAATCCCCCAGCTAGGACAGCTTTGCCAACTGAAATAGGGATCCTCCTCCTCCAGCGCTGCAGGCAGTCCCAGGCCAGGCCCCCTCCCATCATTTCCCGCCTGGTCCCCAACCCTTCGGCTCCAACCTCCTGCGCACCCTGGCCGTGGCCGGCGGGGATGGGGGCAGGCTGCCCAGCCGGGTCCCCGGGCTCGGCGTGGCGCAGGCGGTGGTGAGCGCGGCGGCCGGCCGGGCTGCTGCTGCCTCCAGCACCGCCCGCGGTTTGTTCTCCACCCAGGAGCGACCACGGCGGCAGAGCTCCGGTTAACGCACGCAGGAAAAAGGCTTCAGGCGGGGAAAACTGGGAGCTCGTTTGTCCAAGTTGTCACGGCTCCGAATTGGGTGGAATTGTTTTAATGAAAATACTCGTTGGCATTGATCATGCAGGTCTCAGACAATAGGAGGAACACAGATGAAACCCAACCCCATTAAAAAAAAAAAAACAAAAAAACCTAAGCTCTTAATTAGGTGTATATTACATTTCCTCATAGTAAATTCTGAAAATATATTACTAAGGATCTGTCTAGGGGAAGATTTTTTTAAGGGCAGAATTTAAAAAAAAAACAGGAACTAAAAATAACTCCATTGTTAATGGAAAAGAAAAATCATTCATTTCAGTATGAATCAGATACCCTAGTTCATCCACTTTCAAATACTATGGGAAACTATCTGCGAAGACTTGAGAGCCTCCTGTCACTGGGCCAAGCACCCGAGTGATTGGAAAGCGAGACGAAGATGCCCAGCAACTTCGAGGAGGAACCCACCGCCTCACAGCAACACAGCACCACGCTCTCAGCCCTTACCAAAAAAAAAAAAAAAATGGGAATTCTTTTCCACAGCAAACCGTGGGGAGCGTGCTGCTGCCCCTATACAGGTAAGACATGGACAGAGGCACGTCAGCTGTACGAGATGCACACCTGAACACTGAAATAATGACCTTTGAATGGCAAGTTTTTAAAGACAGATGCCTAAGTGCCTAGCTCACAACACCTCGGTCGATGGGCACGAAGTGACTGGCAGCTGAGCGTGGATGCAGCCGAAGTGCAGACCACGGAGGGCTAACAACGGGCTGGCCCCGCGCTTCCCCGGCTTTGCAGCACAGGGCCAGCACCCAGACACCACGCGATCGCCTGTCCCAGCTCCTGCAGGCAATGAAAACCGTGTGCTGGGGCTGAGGAGGCTTCCAGGGCCACTCGCCTATGGGAAAAATAAAAGCCGGTGCAATCTGCACCGTGGGGCCTCTGGCAAACTGCTAATTGAGACCACGGGAAGGTGAATTTTAGGGCTACCCCCCGGTAGAGAGGCAGCCTTAGGGGCTGGTGCTGGGAGAAGGAAAGGCATAACTTTGTTAAACTCTGTATATTTTTTCTTTACAATAAAAAGTTAAGAATTTACAATAAATTTCTGCCCTTCAGATTACAAGTTTTACATAATTATAGAACTGGTGTCTTCCTAAAACTGGATTATAAAAGAAAAAAACCCCACTGTTCTACAAAAAAAAAAAAAAAAACCAAACACAAAAACAAAAACAAGAGGGGAAAAAAGACCTCTGGAAATATTACTGAGAAAACAATAACATGCTGCATCAAGAAACTGTATCTACCTGTACGTCTCCCAAATCTGTACAAAACAGGAAAAAAGGGGTCTGGGGTGAAAAGAGAAAGAAGAGAGAAAACAAATAAAAAAAAATAAACACACCAAACATGACAGAGCACCAGATGCACAACAGACTGGACTGTAGCACCGGTAGGTATAAAGTCCAATATATTTAAATAAAGTCTCAGATTTTTTTTTGCTTTGTTATTTTGTTTTGTTTTTTAAAATCTGGTTCAAACCACATTAAAAGTCTGCATTTCTGCTGGTCTGCATAGTGCAGCTTTACTTTTGTTATTTTTTTATTAAGTTTTAAATGACCAATGGTGTTTAATAAATAAAGTATTTGTATATACATGAAGTTAGGGACAGTGAAAACAGAGTGTATTGCAGCAATGCAGGTCAAAACATTAGGCTGGACTCAAAAAATTGTAAGCCTTAAAAAAATTGTCTCTTCTTTTTTAGTCCCTCCTTTTTTTTTTTTCGTTTTATTGAGGTAAGCATTTCTGTGCCTGGAAACCTGCACCCTGCATGACACAGAAGTAGCATTCCCTTTCTAGGAGCTCACTACTGAAACGATAAGGAGAGAAATAAAAAAAAAGAAGAAAAAAAAAACAAAAACAAAAAACCCAACCAAACACACACAACATCCCTCTCCAATTCCCCTCCCAGCTCAGCCTCAGCTGGAGCTCAAGTGCTCCTTTATTTTAAGCCCAGACTGAGGTGCTTGTCATGGAGAAAATACTTAAGCATGTGTCTAGTAACGTGCACATGACTCGCCTTGGTCACTCTGCAGTCCAGCTGAGAACTTTCAGCCAAAACCTGTTTTCAATTAAATAAAAAATGTTCACAGAGAGTGTCCATTTCCTGGAAATTATCTATTTGATGTTAAAAATAACATTCCCAAGAAACTTGAGTGTCCCTTGCTTCCTTCTTCCCAACATATCCCCGAGAAAAATTAAAATTTTGAGTGGAAAACCAAGAAATACAATCACTTCTATTGCTCATGTGCTTAAAGTTAAATTCATGCTTAAATACCTTCCCAAACAGGTGCCTATGCCTCTACCAAGATTAAAAAAAAAAGCATGTTAGCAATCCACAGTACATAAGAATTTTTTTAGGTTTTTTTGTTTTGTTTTTATGTAAAAAGATCATAGCATCTGACATTTTTATCACACTGTAGACTTCGAGATTAAGAATACTAGTGCTAATAACAAATACACCAACTAGTTCAAAAGCTAACATCTTTCAGATACAGTACCATTTTACAGAGATTTCTTTAAAAAAAGATTATTTTTTTTACCTTGTGTGAGCCAGGCAGGCTTATTAAAAGAGAACATTCTGGGGAGAGGGAAGGGGCGGAAGGGAAATGTACTACAAACCCTGCAGGACTTTCTATTTCTCTCCTGCTAAGAGTTCAAAGTTTTTCCATTTTCAACCAATCCTCTTCAGTTAAAATGTATTTTAGAGACTTTATGCAAAGGGAACTATTTGTCATAAAGTCTAGTCACACACACACACACGCACACGCAAAGATCTTTGACCTATTAAAAGAGTGCCCCCCAAAAAATGGAAGATACCTTTTATAACACTGAATTAAAAAATAAAATAAAAAAGTCAGAGAAAGAGAGAGGGAAAAAAAAAACAAAACAACCTAACCACCATGGAACAAGAGCAGTATATTAAGGAGAGAAAGGAACACTGCAGAGCGTTGGTGAGGGTGATGTCCATTTTGTGTGTAAGTGTCCGTAACTCATTCCGAATCGCTGCTGTCCGAGCTGGAGCCGCTGGAGCTGCTGCTCCCGGACTCGGAGGAGCTGCTGCTGCTGAGCCGGGAAGGGCCTCCGGAGGGACCTGAGCCGGATTTCTCTGCGGGGAAGAAGGCAGCGATGCGGTCACTTGCAAGGAACCGAAACAGAGAAAGTCTGCCCACAGCCTTCACCCACCACGGCTTCATTCACAACTTCCTTTTGCCTGGACAGCCTGCTTACCCACAGCCTTTGCTTGCTGCAGCCAGGCCTGTCCTGGCAGTGGGTGGCAAGGTTTCTCAGGCTGCAGGAGATCATGAAAACCCGGGATGGGCACAGGAGCCCTACGGTGCTCACTGGGAGACGGCGCAGAGCACCTGGGGAGCTGTGTCCAGAGCCCTGTGTGCTTCGGTGCAACCTCCGAACGCAAGAAACCCCTGCCTGACTTGTGCAAAGCCGAGAAAAACTTCATTAATTTGCACTGGAAGAACCTTCTGTACCATCTTTCACACTATTGCACTACATGGGCTCTTAGGCTTTTTTTTTTTAATCCCACAATGAAGAAAATTAGTCTGTTAGATGCTCTGTGGTACTGGTCTGTATGCAGAGTCCTGCACAGGCTAACACAGAGAAGATCCAGCCCCCTCTGAAGGATGAATCACCTCCAAGACACCTCACGTTTACCACCCAGGAGGGCTTCCATCTGGACAGGGACCAAAGCAGCTCCCACACAGTAGCTCAGCACCCATCAGTAACTCGCCGCGTCCCAACACTACTGACCACTACTGATAAACCCAAGGGCACAAGAACACAGTAGTTTTGCTTCACTGAGGAAGTCTATCTACATACACAGCTTTTCAGGCATTGTTAGCACAGTAAAAGCAAAGCCATTACCTTTCTTTGCAGGTTTTTTGTTGTTGTTTAGCTGCCCACTGACGTCCTGTAACCGTTTTTCTAGTTCTTTCTTCTTTTCCTGAGCTAACTCTTCTTTTGACTTTGCTGCTTGCTTTTTTCCACTTGCAGCTGTGGAGGAGGAATGCACAATTTCTGAAACTGCATGACTGCAGGTGAAAAAGCGTGGACATCACTATTTTACAGGGCATGTAAATCTGTGCAATCACTCTGCAGTGACACTGCTAAGATCAAGTGACCACACAGCAACTACACATCCCAGATAGAGGGCAACATACGAAGTTGTCTGGATCATCCAATCACCATCATGCTGTAACATGCACTTTTTAAGAGGTATCTTCTGGAAAGTATTTTAGAAGATAAAAATATCCATGTAATAACCTTGTAGTTACAGGTTACTTACCAGTCAGTTTTATGGTCAATAGTTACACATTTGTAATTACAGAATTGTTACATGGGTTTTCTGCCCTGTAAAATAAAGTGTCCCATTAAAGGCTGTCAGAAGTAAACATCTGTCATTGAAACTTAAGATACCTCACGCAAGAATCTACTGTGTTTTATATTGCTTTAAATATAAAACAAAACTAAAAAGACAAATTAAAAACCAACTGAAGCAAAGGCTGGCAGACAACAGGAATGTAGCTGCATCAGTTAGGATGGAAGTGGTGAGAAGTACCAGCAATACTCATACTTCTGAGCAAAAGAAATAGCCCTCCAAATGAGTAATTGAACACAGGTGTTTGGCCAGTACTAGAAGCACAAGACACAGGCCAGATACTTTGCCTGATCCAGCAAGGAAATACCTACATTTCTGTGCACTGTTTTAAAGCAATGATATAAAAAAGAAATCTGGAAACCACAGTCCTAAGAGGATGTGCCCCTGGACACTAAGCACTGCAACAGACAGCAGGCAGCACAAAAGCCTGGCTGGGCTCAGGCACACCAGCCTGCCAGGCCAGGGCCTACCCACCCCAGAGGAGCAGACAGCTCAAGTTACCTGCATTACTCTATGCTTTGGTTCCAAAATAAAAGGATGCTTCTTGTTCCCAACCACTCTGGAAAACCTCTTCCTGAGCTATTCCAACAGTGCAGGACTTGGAGCAGGGGAATCAAAGCAGTGTATTAAAAAGCAAAAAGAAGGGTCAAAGTCTGAACTTTGCTCAGGGCTACCTGAAAATCCTGTGGGGAAGAAATGGAGGTGCTCTGCAAGAGTTGAGTAGCTCTTGTGTTATACTCTTAACAGGACAACTCCCTCTTTACCAACAAGCAGATGGACAGAGCCAGGACCACTTCAGGTAAGTGATCCTACTGCTATTCAGCTGGAAATAAACTCTCAAGGGGCCACAATAATTCACTCTGTGGATGAGGCATGGAGAAAATTCTCCCGTACTGAACCGTACACTCAACAGCACATTAACATTAATCCTCTGATCTAACAGAGACTGAGAGCAATACGGTGATCAGGCCACCTAGGAAGAGCAGTTGTGGGGTGAATATACAACTCAGACACACCCAGAATCCACAGGTTGCCCAGGTAACTTTGTGCAAGTTATTTATTCCCTTGATGTTTTGGATCCCAACCATGTTTTTTGTTTCCTTCCTAATTAGATGCTAAACTATTCACAATAAGAAATTGATCCTTCCAGATGTGTGCACCTAACACCTAACACAATGAGACTGAAACCTTTATAGTGCCTTCTAGATTCTAGATAAGTAATAAAGGTATCACACGGGTCTTGTAGAGGAACACAATAGTCCTCCAGGTCTCCGCAACATGACATCATGGGAAAAAAGAACATAAAAAATAGAAAGTTTCTGTACATTTTCATGGGAGAAAAGAATCTCTAAAAATCCCTGTTATCGCATACCCAACAGCTGGGTAAGAGAATCCCAACACACATGCCCTGACTCCAAAGCTGAGCTCAAGAGCTGGTGAGGGACGTGTGCCCCAGGAGGTAACTTACAAAATGGTTTCCTTTGTTTTTTCTGTAAACAAGATTTCACATATCTCTCCAGTTCTCGTAAAGTTGTGGGCTTCAATGTTTCAAAATCTATTTCTATCTCGTCCGGATTGGAGTCTCTGAGGGAAGGTTCCCGTGACTGGATGATGTGAACAACCCTGCCCAGCTTCTCTCCGGGCAGGCGATTAATGTCCAAACTGAGTTGTCGTTTCTCATCATATGTCATGGGCAGACCTTCCTCCTCCTCGTCTGAATCGTAGGTTGCAGATGCCTGTTTGCCTCCTTTCTTGGGCTGCCTGGAGGAATTGGCAAGCATGGAAACACTCGTGGGTATACAGAGGCAATGAACTCTTCTCTACCCCCCTTTACAAACATCCCAACACTCTTGGCTTTGGACCTCTAGCCAGACGGCTTGAACAGCACCACAATTTCTGAAAAAGTTCAGAAGTCTGAGATCAGCTGTTCTACTCCTATTATTTTTTAGCCCCGTGAGGCAGGACAACAAGCCCATGTAGCAGCAGGGGGGCAGCAATGAAATGGCACATTCTTGCTGGCTGCGCAAATGGCAAAAAGCAAAACCTTATCTGAGAGTGATCAGGCAGGGATTCTAAGAGAGCTGGACAGTGGAAATATGATGGTTTCATTGCCAGCTCTAACTTAAAGACTCCCTGGAGTTGTCTGGGAATGGAGACACTATTCAACAGCAAATTAACTGCTCTGACAACCCAGCTTCACCAGGAATTCAATGGGCACAGGAGAACTGGGCTGGAAGCTCTTGGCATTCCCCTTAAGGCAACTTGCTGAAGGCAGGCTCTCACCTGTTAGCTGTGGTTGTGCTGTTTGCTTTCTTAGCTGGGGCTTTCTTCTGTTGGGTTTGTTTTGGTGGTTGAGCCACCTTGGGTTTTTTTTCCTCCTCCGCTTTTACCTTGTGCTTTTCCTTTTCCTTCTCTTTATCTTTCTTTTTCTTCTCTTTTTCCTTCTTCTCTTTTTTTTTCTTTGGTTTGTTCACTGGCGCTTGTGACAATGCAGCTAGCTGCTCGTGGACGGCCTTTAGCTGGGGGAGAACAGTGTAAAAATTAATCAGACTTCACGGCAAAATAACTGATGCCTCCACATATCCTTCCTCTACATCCCAACATGTAAGTATATCCCAAAGTCTGTGATCAGGCAGTCTAGTGACTGAATTCAGGAGACACTGCTTGATTTTAAATTCTTGAAAGAACGCAGTGCAAGGACTCAAATGAAAACATCGTTCTTGTTTTATAGGGGCAAAAATAAATTAGGCTTAATATCTCTATCTAGAACACTAACAACGTGGTCTCTGGAATCCTGGGTTCACTTCTTGGCTCTCCTACTAGCTTGCTTTGGGACACCTGATAAGCTATTTTATTAATGCTTCGTTGTATTACCGTAGCACATGTAAGCACTGTAGCATCTGGCATTGTACATCTGCATAATAAGAAAGGCCAAGGCCTAAGCACTTGCAACCAGAACAGTCAAAACATCTCACTCCGACAGACAGGGTACAGGGGGGCAATATCCCACAGGAAGTTTGTGATGTATTTTGTTATGCCTGAGCTCTCATACAAAATGAGTCTCTCTGTTCCTCCCAGATCCCTAGTATTGTCTTCACCCTCATTCATACTCTGAGATCCCAGAGGGAAGCAGAGAGCAACAGCACCAAGAATGGCTGTCTCAAAGAAAATTAACATTACATCAAACATGTGCTTACTTCACAGCTGAGTGTTCTTCCCCTTTAGCTGGCAGAAGCAGAGATTGCTTTGCAGCATCCCAGCCTCGACGGGATTTTTAAGAACAAAATTAAACCCTTCCTTCTGCACAGACACAGACAGATAGCTTGGCCGTGGCAATACCTGCTCCTGGAGCTCTGCCAGCCGAGTTGCTCGCTCTTCTTCTGAGTCTGAGCTATCTGAGTCAGAAGAGCTCTCCTCACTGCTGTGGCTGCTCTCTGTGCTTTTGCTCACCACTGGTGCTGTTGGTGGAGGCGGAGGTGGGGCCTCTGCGGGCTCATCAGGCATCTTTGCAAACCTCATCTCAAAGACATCCTACAAAAAGGGGGAAAAACTGGTGAGAAAGAGCCTCAGCCCCAAAGATCTCACTCAGGCCTTTTAAACACACCAGACACCTCACCATGGGTCAGGGTCTTGCTGCATTACACAAGGTGCTGTACAAGTAAATAATAATGTACAGATGGGCATATTCTGTAAGCCCAAGAAAATTCCTCCATTACTTTATATAGTAATGAATATAACATTTTAGGAGCAAGCAGGGCATTGGGCCATGCCATGTGAAGAGCCTAACAGTTCTGCAGCAGAGAACACGGCTCTTTTCAAGGGCTGAAAGAATCACCGACTCTCTCTTGTTGGTGTCAAGAGCAGATCCACACTTGGATCTATGAATGGACACCTCGTAGCTGAACTAAATGTACTCTGGAAGATGCATTTGCCAACACCTTTACCTGAAGCTTCCTGGCCATCGCTACCACTTCGTGGTCTGGAGGATTGTACTTGTAACAATTAGAGAACATTAACCGAATATCTGCTGCAAAACCTTGTGCATCCTGGTATTCCCGACTGTCCATTTTTTTCTGCAAACAAACAAGCCAAAGGGAAAGGGGAGAAAAAGCCATAAGCAGAAGGCATTTGTAGCAACTGCATGGAGGACACGTGCATCTTGGAGACAGCTCAGAATAACCTCAAAAATCCCATTTGTCTAAGAGAACAGTAGTTTGATCCGGCTTATTGGTTCTCAAATAACTTTCAGAGTTTCTGCTTTTTAAAACAAGCAAGCAAACACCAGACAACCGAAGAAGCTGATACTGTTCCATAACAGTTAAGATTCTATATTTGGGATGTTTTCTTTTTCTAAGTAGTACTATATAAATATGTCAGGGTTCACATTCTATTAGAAAATAGAGTAATTTAGAAAAAGGGTTTGCTAAATCAGAAACTAATGTAAACAAAGATCATGGACAGGAAGGATAGGAGTGAACAAACAATCAAGCTACAAAATTACAGGCATACCTTAAGCATGTATTTCTACATGCCGCTTGAATATTTTTGCCCTTTAAATCTGAAAGGGCAGAAAAGATCATGACCATCCAACTCTGACTTCCTGCTAACACAGGGCATGAATTTTGCTTGGCAATTCCTACAGCAAGAGAGGCATTTACAGTTACACTACAACACCTACACTTGATTTAAAAGTCCAACTGATAGAGAGTGGATACAGAGTTCACTCTTTATGAACCTATTCATAATGTTATTTCCTAGTGGCGAAGATAAGGTATCAGGAGCTAAATATTTGCACTTTGTTACTTTCTCTTATTTTTCAGCTCTCACTTTCGTCCATTTCTCTTGCTGTTTGGAACTAAATGACTTGGGTTTAGAGAACAGTTTGTAGCATTCCTAGAACTTAATTGATTTTATGCATATATTACTACTATGTATAAAACCTTAGCTCCAATTACTCTTACCAAAAGGAAAAAGAAGCTAACACTAGATTTCATTTGCATTTAAAAGACCTGGTTTTAAAGAAATTCTTTGATTGCCAAGTGCTCGTAGGCCTCCCTTTTGTGTATCTTGTGCACCTGTATCCCGCAGTGAAGGGAAGGGGCCAACTGGCAGACAGGCTGCAAACGGGATCGGGCAAGACACATCCCCTGTCCGAGCAGAAAGCAAGGCTGCAACCCACACTGGAAGCCTTAACACAAGCAAAATTCCTATTTGTTCAACAGAAGCTACAGAATTTCACAGCTACACAGCAGACCTTGGAACTATCTTGAAACACCGCAGTGACTCCCTACAACTGTTTTTGTTCTGAATAGGGCAGAATTTCACCTCCAGGGATACAGCTTTGGAGGGACCTGCACGCAGGGTGGTGACATTCCTGCAGCCTTACTCCTTCCAGTGCTGCAGCCAGACATCTGTCAAACTTTTGTCAAAAAACCTCATTCTCTTGGTGAATAAATGAGGAGACAGCCTCTGAGCCACAGCACAAAGAAAGGGAAATAGGCTTGTGCTTCTCCTGTCTGAGGTAGAACTAGCCTTGCTTGAAAAGTATCTCAGGCCAATTCCAAAGCAAAACATATGTTCAAACGAAAGGGCCCATTTATTTTAAAATATGTCTTACTGCATGAAAGGCCTTTTTAATGAGCTTGTATTTGTTTGGCACACTCAGTGGCTGATTACTGCCTATGAAATATTTTCCAGTGTCTGAGGCTCCACTTTCATCCAAACCCAATAGCTTTTCAGCCCAACAGTTTCAATCTGTGGATTTTTGTTTTGTTTTCTTGTAAAGAATAATTAACTTAAAATAAAAAAGAACTTTAAATTGAAGGACTGGAATATCTTCTGTTACAAATTCACTTCGAGATATCCAGCTGCTTAAAAAAAGTTAGTACATTCACAATTGCAAATCAGGAGTCAAAGACAAGCAGGATTAGCAGAGGTGCTGGGAGGCCAGCTAGGCCATTATCTGCCCCACGCAATATCTACCACAGCAATCTCATTTTTTCCTTAGAAATCAATTAAATCATTTAATATTCTTTAATATCCAGAAGTTTGTTTCCTAACGTCTAATGTGTCCCTTGCTCTAACGTAAGCCTTGTCCTGCCCACAGAGGATGCAGAAAAAACTTTGTTCTCTCCCTTCCTGCAGCAATCGTTTACACATCTGAAGATTTAACATGTCCCTTTTCTGTTGTCTCTTCTCCAAGGCTAAATTGGACATCAGCCTGTCCTCAAAGCACATACCTTGGGCACGGCATCAGGGCAGGTGCTGACAAGGGACAGGGCCACACACGTCCAGCAACATTAGTAGATAAAATGCCATCTCTACCAGCTAATGAGGACTCAGCCTGATTTCTGGAGGCCTAATTGCACTTTGCAGAAACTGCCTCAACAGAAGCAGATGCTTTGTGAATCTGCATTTGTACTCTAAAATAGGTGCCACTAAATAAATCTTTAAAAATTCCCCCAAAGAATGTCTCCTCATTTTCAAGACCCTGAACTCACCTGTTCTGAAACCGCAGCAATTCACTGCAAGAAAATTAACCAGTGAGCACAGCTAGACCTCTGGAGGTAGCGCTTTATTCCAAAAGTAAACACCTTGTATAAATCCTCCTGCAGAGCAAGGACTGTTACTTGCTCACCACTGAGTAAACCAAAGGCAGAGACATCCACATCACTGCTACCGTGTCCTGGCAGCCAGAGGATGGAGAGAGAGAAGAGATGCTCCAGGTTCCTCCCAGCTCCATCATGGGCCCAACATCAGAGAGGGGGACATGAACGTACTGCAAGCGGGCCCTGCCTGCCTGTGGACAGGGCAGCAGAAGCACAGAGCTGCTATGAAGCTGTAGTGTTTCACCTACTACAGGGAATTAGGGCTGCTGCCTCTTAGGTTTTTTTTTGGGTTTTTTGTTGTTTTTTTTTGGTTTTTTTTAAGGTGTAACCCATGCCTCTGCCTCCCTCTCTCCTCATGCTTTCATCCTTTCCTCTCTTTACTCCAAGCAGTTCTGCCTTTTCCCCCCGCTCTGTGATAACTAGCAAAGAAATAGATGTGGAGATGAGCTCGCTGATCCTGTCCCGTCAGCTCTTCCCACTCTCACTGCCCTAGCTCTGGCACAGCACTCCAGCACACCCTTCTGCTCCTGGCTGCAACAAGCTCAGCTACAGTCCCTCCACCTCTCCCTGGCCACTGGCACAGCCACAACAGCCAACCTGCCTCCTCCACCACGCACGCAGAGAAAACAATCTCCAAATCCTTCTGAAGCACACCTCTGCTGGGTGCACTGCCTGGAAATAAATGCTCCTGGACACGAAGGATATTCTCTGAAGAAAATCAAGCCTCATGTAACCAGAGACCCAAAGTGACAAGCAACCAGGTGTTGGGGAATCTATTATAGCTGCAGCAATGCTTATGTTTTACTTTCTCACATAATTCCTTCAAGATTAGTTTGAAAGCTATTAGTCGCTCTGCTTTACCACAGCCATTGTCACTTGTTTTAGATTCAGTTCTGCACCTTTCCAAGTCACACAGAAATCCCCTGACACTGGAAAATTACACTGCCTGAAAATGGCAGGTTTCTGTTCCATGCAGTTAATGTATTATAGACTGCATCTCAGAGAAGTCACACTATGATCTACAGGCCAAGAGCAATGATAATAAAACACTCCATAAAAAACCAATACCAGACAGCACTTCAAACAAGTTTATTAACAAAAATACTACCACATGGAAAGACAATCCAGAGTCTTTACATACAAAAGACTCCACTGGATCTGCCATTAACTTGTCTCCAGTTTTCTGCCCTACACTAGTAAGATACAGAGGGAAAATACCACCTGCACTTGCAGAAAAAGGGCAGAGGCGTACACTTTTTAAAAGAACAGAATTAGGACTATAAAGAGATTTAAGCAAGAAGTCACCAAGCCAAGAAATCACAGTTTTGCACCTAGATTTTGCAGAATACAGCACAAATTCTCTTACAGTAAGAAGCCCCCTAACAACACATCAAAATACCAGCTTTGAGAGAGTCAGGATTTCACTCTCTCCATCTCTAATCTTACTGCATTCACCCAGGGCTTGATCTACCAGGCTGCAGGTATCTCTGGAGACCCACAGCATCCCTAGGAAGCCAAGGGAACGTGACTGAGCTGAGAACAGGTCTGAAAGGACAAGGTTTACCAGCAATCCCTGTAAAGTCAGTACAGTAATTGAATGAGTTCATCCAGGATGTGATCATCTAACGACTTGTGTTCACAAGACCAGTAGAGAAAAGGCTATCCATAGCACTTCATCATCTAATGTGGTAACAAAAGAACCATTGCACTGAGCAATAGATGCTTCTTCCCACTTCAGTAATTTCTGTGAACCAGACATACTTTGAAATTCCTTTAAAGGCTACTGGCCAGTTTATATACTCTTAGAACAAATTTTGACATGTATGCACAGTAAAAAGCATCATATATGAAGGTTCCTGATGCCACTTAAGTACTGCACTTCTGATCTGACTTACAGAAGAACACAGAGAACCCCATTTGCAACCTGTTGCTGCTCCCAGCCCACTCACTGGCATCAGAGGAGCAAGGTCAGACCCTTCAACTGAGAAGGTGGTGACCCCTGGAAGGGAGCAGATCAGAGTGAGTAAGCAACCCTGCTTTGAGCAGGAGGCAGGCCTCCTGACCAACCTGAATTATCCATTGGCCTATGATCCAAGCCATGTGGATGGACCTCCAAGCTGGTGGAGAGGAGCAACTCCAATGCAAAGTGAAGCAAGCAGACCTTGACAGCAAGTCATCCAATTAAAACAACGTACAAGGATTAAGTAGGCCTTCAGTACTGGGCATCCAAAATCAGCGGGATGGTGAACACACTGCAGTAGCAAAACTGAGGGGAGTTTCTTCCTTCCTCATCCATGCTCAAGAACAAGAGAAAATAGAAACTTACCCAAGAAAACACTGGGACTTTCCTCTATCAGCAGAACCTTAGAGCTAGATACCTAGCTGCTCCTGCTTCACAGACTACCATGTTCAAGCTAGCCCTTTCTCCTGCTTCTACCACTGTGTTTCAGGGTCCCTCTTCTTGCCTGCAGCTCACCTCACCCTTCGTATTGCCCTCTTCTCCTGCCAGGAAATTGCTGCAGGCCTTTAACACAGCTTGGCTTAATTGAAAGTCAGAAATACTGCACATTGCATGGCTTTTGTAAACAAAGCATGGGCACTGCAAGCTCAGTAGAAGAACGGTCTCCAAGCCTAGCTCCAGCAGAGCTTGCTTACAATGCTTTTGCCAACTCATAGGCAGTCTTGTCTGTACAAACCCAATCAGTAATAATAATTAGTACTTAGATAGTGCCTTCCAGATATCTGTCCTCACAACAGCCCTGTGAGGTAGGTTAAGTATTATTATCTCCATTTTATGACTGGGAAAACCACAGCACAGAGCTGTGGGGAAACTTTCCCAGAACCATAGCATCAGAACAGCAATTTTAACTCTGGTGATGCCTGGTCTAATCCTCAGTGCACAGACCACGACAACTATTTTCTCACCACTAAACAATGCAACTAAAATACTTGTAAAAAATATTGCAGCTGTATTAAGAACCCCTGCAGCATCAGGGCTGAATGGCATGGCACATCAGAGCATGACACACCAATTTCAGGTACTACATAGTATTTGCCAAGGAACATGAAAGGAATCATGAACACAGCTGCCCTTTTGTCACCTGGGCATTTAGACAATCCCAGGCATTGTCTCAGCTGCCAGCAAAACACTTCTGGCATGCTAGTGAAAGCCAGCAGAAATACCTTAATTTCCTGCACAGGGAAGACAGTCTCACCTCCACCAACACTGATTCCAATGGCTGGCTCACAAGCAGAAGATGGGGACTAGAAAAACATGGCTTAGCTCCATGGATATTTGGGAGGCAGTCAGAAAACCTCCCAGTCTACCTTGAATATTGGACCATACTAAGCTAAGCTCTTGAAGAGCCAAGCATAAACCACACAAGCATCACATTATTTCCTCCCCTCCCCGAGTACCAGGTGATCATCACGTTCCAGTTGGAAATGCTCAGCGTAAGCCTATCTGGACCACACATCATGCCAGCAAGCAGGCGGGCAGCAGTTTCTGGAAATGGGATACTATCAATCGAATCCTATGAAATACAGCACCTCTTCTTCTCAGAGCGCAACACAATCCCAAGGACATAAGTTTAAATAGCTGGACTATCCACAAAGAGGAGAGGATGCCATCGTACAGTCTGCTTTGCAGGGCAGAAAAAAAAAAAAAGCGTCCCAGGTTATGGGGGAAAAAAAAGAGAGGGCAAGGAAACAAAATATAAAAATATCCAGGTGATATCCAAACAGGTTCAGTTGTCTACCCTTGTCCCTTCCCCCTCCCCCAGAAGGAGCCAGTCCTCTGCAACCAGAGGGCTGTGACACCCTGCAAAAGAGGTGGTAAATGTGGACGTACTTTAACAGTACTGAGATCCATGGGGTGTTTGATAATATCATGATAGTCATGTAATTCCAAGGCCTCTGCATCAACAGGCTTGTAAAAGGGCCATGCATAGGCTGCATGCTTCTTCGAGAGCATCTCCTTGAGAATGCTGTCACAGTACTTGAGGTGCTCAGAGAGTTTGCCTTTCTTCCCTGCGTGCTGGGGGACCTCTCCGTCTTCAAGGTCTTTCTTTGGTGGTTTGATGGGCCGGCCGCCGCTCTCCCGTCGAGCGATGATTTTGGCCTGCTTGGGGTCCGAGAGGGGCGTGGGTGACTCGCTCCTGCTGGCAGTGATCGCGGAGGTGGTGGGGGTTGTGGTGTCTGCTTTCCGCTTCACTCCCTTTTTCTGAAACAGCAGATGGACAGACTTCATGAGTACACGCCCAGCTCTTGTGCTACGCTAGCAGAAACCTAGCACAGTTCACCCTTGTTTTTGAGATCCGCCTGTCCTCTAACAGAAAATGCAATTGCTTCACTGGGATAAATGGGACTTGAGACTAGAGGCTTCAATACACAATTCAGTGACTACAACACGATGTATTACTACATGTCATCTGAGCCACAGTAACCAGCCACTTGCACGTCTCCAACCCAACCCCAAACATGACGCAAAATGTGTTAGCTCTATGTATTTCACTGAGATTTAAACTAAGGACTCTTACCTCATCTTTGCCAAGGGAAAGGAGTGCGCCCAGTCGATTACTGCAGCTCAGCTGATGCATCGTGACTTAGTAAGTGTCAGTAACTTAACCACATGTCTGAGTCCCCAGTGGCAGGATCAGGCTATAAGTTCTGAACCAAAGCATATTAATCACCAAAGACTCATCAGCCCTCACTCCCTTGTACTTAGTAGGTGTACTAAGGCAGATTGCTTATTATGGACAAGAGCAAGAATTTAATGGTTTTGCATTAAGCAAATAAAACCTCTCACATAAATTCAAGCTGCGACTGTCCAGTCAGCTCTCTCTTGTGCTCCTATGAAGGATTTATTTCTCTTGAGAGAAAGGGGGGACAGAAAAATTCCTTAGGGAAACCTAAAGTAAATCCCAAAAGAATTAATTTTGCAGCATGCATCTGGCAAACTCACTTCTGGGTTCATCCTTAAGTTTTAAAATTAAATTGATTCTCAGAAGCAAGTTATTTGGACAGAAACTGAAGTACAAGACAGGTTTCTGAGGAGGACAGCTTAGCTGCAAGAAGATCCGACTCATGATTTCTCTAGTAATTCCCAAACTACAGGGTTAAATAAGCAAAACAATTCTGTGGCTCTGCTGGTCCATGCAACCTCACCTTAGAGAACACCAACACTGTTGCAGTTAATTCCCCAGTTTAGAAAAAACCCCAGCTTTCTCTGAGCTATGCTTTCATCATTTTTAAAGCAATACACAACTTGCTAGGAACATTCCAATTATGTAGAGCAACATTTTCATTCACCCATAAATTAACATAGTAAATAGAAAAACACCAATGACAACTCCCAGAATATTACTCAGTAAGGAAGACAGAACTAATGCACCCAAAACCTGCAGGCAACAGTCTCCTCCAACTGGAGTGACAGGCTTGTCTTGAACTGGTTTGTGGCAGAGAGGAACATTCCTAGTGCTGAAGTCTGCAAACCTTAAAGGAATAGTCCCAGAAAAATCAGGAGCTCAGCTACGGAGGAAAGAGATGCTTTGGGCTATATGGTGCAAAATGGGGGAAACCTTCAACAATCTTGTGGTTCATGGAGCATCAGCACTGGCTAAGGCATGGTCAGATGAGAGCTTGCAACTGAGTTGAAGCAATTACAGTTACCATCACCTCAGCTGGGGTGCGGTAAAACTGGCAAAACTCTTCCCAACCCTGACAGCAAACACTTGCCTGAGCAAACCCCAAAGGGACAAGGATGGCCAGAGAGGCAAGGAGTCAAATGTGAAGAGAAGGAATGCACATAACCAGCAGTGAGGGGATGAAAAGAAAGCACTGCTTAGCAGTATTGCCCTCTGAAGAGAAAGGGGTCGGGTTCTCCATTTACCTTGACTACCGGTGGCGTAGGAGGCACCACGGGCAGTATCGGAGCAGCAGGCGGAGGGGGAGCAGCGGCGGGAGGGGCAGTGACAGGCGGGACATTAGCAGTGATGGTTGGCACAGGGGTGGCAGCAATGACGGGCGTCTGAGACACGGCTGGAGGGACGTTCTGGAACGGGGCCGGCGGGGAGACGGAAGACACGGCCACTGCTTGCTGCGCTCCTTTCAAACGACAAAGTGAAAACGCACTGCAATGTACTGATGGTTACAAGTGCTGACAAGACACTGGGAACAAAGTGACACTGGTGCCGCTGGACTGTGAGATCATGGGCTTGGCAAAAGGCTCCCAGTCCTGGGCCACAGGAAGAGCACAAAGGACACAGTGTGATTTGCTTGGTGCTGTTACCCAGGGGGTCAACAAAAAATGAGAAATCACTGACCTAAGTCCTTGTACCATGAGCTTTAGGCCAGCCACATGCAAGCAAAATACTTCGAGCTTTGCACATGGGGTGTGTGTTGCTCTGGGACAGTCTTTACCCCTCTCATGCTCTCAGAGCTACTCTGTGCTCAGCAAAAGAGCAGGAGCTCAAGGAGAGTGAATGGAAGGAGGTGGCTCTTTTGGACAGCTGCTGTCCTGCAGAGACTTCAGTGTGGGAGTGTTTTTACTATGCATGACAAATGGTAACCACCACTCCCCTACTACCAGCTAAGCACCAAAGCACTTCAGATTTGCCACAAGTTATACGATGAAAATAAGAGACCTGGGAGTAGAGCCTAAATCTCCCAATAGCCAGGCAAATGTCTCTTATGCCAGACCTGCACTGTTAAAGAACTGCCAACTAGTGTAAAGTTAAGGGGGACAAACCTAGTAATAATCAAAGTAGCAATACCCCTCTATGTTTCTATAGCAGCTTTTATCATAGTATGCTGAAAAGACACATCATCACAAATTTGTCTGAGCTTGGATGAAGTTGTAGCTCCATTTGGCACCTGAGATGTGGGAAAACAAAGAGGAACAGTTGACTTTCCCAGAGCAACAATTAGACCTTGTTTACAGAAAAAAAATCTGCAGTTTAATTCAGCCCACACAAGCTTCTCTATGAAGTGTTTTGCCATGCTTCCAGACATTTTAGTCCTAAATTCACTTAAAATCAAATCTAGGTAAGGTGAACTAAACTTAATTTCTACTGATATGTAATGGTCTACACAGCCTTTTGCAATGCCTTAGTAAATCCTTTCTGTTAATCAAACTTTATTCTATGATGTTGCAACTGTGCGTGCAAAATAAAATAATGCTATGTGGGGTTTAGGGGATTGGCAAGATTAGAGTCCAAATCTCTGTTGTGTCAGATTTCTACCAGGACTTTGGGTGAGCTAGCTGTATAAACTCACGTCTACAGAGGCATTTTATGCCATGGTCTGTTACTTCCAGCAGACTGGCATGCCTAACTACCCTGCCTCTTCTTGCCTTGGTTTCTTCTTTGCAGACAGGAAGCAACAGCATTGCCCTCCCTCACTGAAGCGCTGCATGGATGGGTAAGTCACAGATGGCAAGATGTTTGTATGACAAATGCAGAGTGGCCCCAAGACAGACAAGCCCTGAAACACTGGGTGAACATTAGCTAGACATCTCACGCTTTCCTCTCCACTGCTTTAACCATTAGACTATATGCTGCCTTCCTAGTCTTTTCACCATTTGCAAAGCCAGGCAGCTTGGAAGGTGGGTCAGGCCTCAGCAACAGGCCCACAACATTTCATGTCACTGGACTGGGTTAATACCTGCACTCTGTGTGCCTGCTGACGGCTTGCGACCTTTGCCTTTAGGAACCGGGGGTAATAATTCGACTTCCTCCTGAGGCATCTGGGCAACCTTCTGCAGAAATATCTTCTCCAGGGCTTGGGCCATAAGGACGATGTCATCTGTGGGCTGCAGAAAGAATACAAGCCCATGCTGTATCATCCAGGTAGCAGAAGCAGGCAGGTTCAAGATCAGGCTTTGAAATCTCCAGTGACACTGCCCTTCCAGTAAATGATGGCACCCAAGCTCCAACAATAAAAATACTAGCTCTTCTCCCTCCTTGCATGCTACCCTCCTGCTCTTCTATTCTGGTCTAGCATGCAATAATTACAGCCTCTAATATGCTGTATCCAGAGAGTTATCAGGACTTCCAGTAGGAGCCTGATAACTAGCACCCTGTGCAACAGCGTGGAAGCAGCAAACTGGAACAGATGAGCTGTCCTCCCCTGCTTGCCAACAGGTCCAAGAAAAAAGTGTAAACACATACTCTGTGGCTCAAACTAATTAATTTGTTTATTTCAGCTTGTTCTCCAGTATGGGTCAAAGATGACAAACCACTGCAGAAAACATAATACAAAGAATAGAGGCTTTTAACAACCTAACAAAACAGCAAACAAGCCAAACCCCAAATAATAATAAGCAATTTAAAGGTGTGCAAGTATGGACGAGATATGGGCAGAGAACAGAATTATACTTCCTGAACTGCTCTCTCCTGCTAAGAGATACTATTTACTGCTAGACAGATAATGTAACACATAGCAGTAATACCCCACAGAACACCTGCAAAGCACTGCATAAACCGCAGCTCATCTTAAATAATTCCTAACTGAAAATAAAAGGAGTAAAAAGTTGCTATGTAACCCCAGAACAGAAATCTACCTATAATTAAAAGGCATATTTGCCATTTTAACTAGTCTGGGGGAAGAAAGACAGAGCACAAAGACAGCTTTGTGCATTTCAAGTAATGTGGTTGCAATTAGTGGCATTTCAAATCCTTGCAAGGAAGGCCCTGAGCACAGCCGAGCTGGCCCTGTAACAGCAGAAGGTGGGGTCTTTTCTAGGCAGTGCCCCAGCTAAAGGCTTGTCTGGGCTCTTTACCTTGTTATAAATGTAACAATTTGTAAACATGGTGTTGAAATCCTGCATACATTCACTGGCACTCCAATAATAGTTATGTTCCAGGCGCTTCTTGATTGTCCCCATGTCCATGGGGTTTTTTATTATTTTGTGATAATCCTGTTGGAGAAACAGGAAAGACATTACATCTCCAATATGCAGTGTTCTTCACATCTCCCTCTAGTCCCAGTTTTCTCCTCATTCCCCCTCCCAAAAAAAACACATCCCCAAATTTTCATGGAAATTATAAATATCACCTTTGCTTTTTTTTTTTTTTTTTCCCCTCTCGATTTTGTAGGCTTTTGGTCTATCACTATTATGAACTTGACTACAAACCACAAGAACTCCTTCCACAACCACCAGTCTTCCCCAGCTCCCCCCAACACATGCTTAAACACACAAATTGCTACTTGGACATCACCTCCTTTTTCTAGGGACAGCTAGACTGGGAAGGCACTAAGTAACACGTGGAAGGAAAGATGCCCTCTGAGCAGCTCCCCCTGGAAGCTTTTTGCAGCCTTCATACCCTTTACGAGGCTGTAGGTGCTGTTTTGGACTGTGCCACAGAGTGGAAGGGTACCACACGTACCAACACTGCCATGATGTGCTTCATGCTCACCTGGGAGCAGAGGTCGGGGCAGCAGGGGCAGCTCGAGCTCTGGCAGGGTGTTCAGTTTAGCGGTGAACTGGCTGTGCTTTGGGAAACAGCATTTCTGCCTCCCTTTTTAAAAGGCTGCCTCTGGCACTTAACAGGAGTTTATCAGTGCCAGCACTGGCTAAGACTGTGCTAAAAGCTTTGGTCTCCCTTTTATGGGCATTTCAGCCCTTAAAAGGCTTTCACATGTTAACCCAGTTTCTCTCTGGGCTGGTCTCAAGCATTTGTAAAGGCTGTGATTAGCCTGGCGATGCTGTGGGCATGCAAGGTTATACACCATAATTTCTCATTCTGGAGAAGAGCAGCAAGCCCTCTCGCTGCACGTGCACACAAAGCCACGTACAGCCATCGGCCACTCTTTGAGCCCAACCCTCAAGCACGATCTGAGAGACCGGTATTTCCAGACAAGGCACGCTAGGGAAAAAAAGGCAATCCTGCTGGCTACTGGGCTTGTACAGATTTAGGCCACGTGTGAAAAACAACTGTTCTTCCAACTGACGACTCCTTTAATTTTTCTGGTAACCTGCCCTAAAAGCACCTCAAAATGCCTCACTGAGAAACTAAATCCACAAAAAGAAGACACAAAGGAGCACAGACCTAAACAAATATTATACAGGCATTAAGTGTTTTATTCTTTTGGCTAGCACTTTAAATATTACCCATCAACAACAGCACAGAGTTCAAAAGACTCCTGATCCAGTCCATAAAATTCAGTTATAAGCTGCAGTAACTGGAGCTCTCCTGACCTCACATCCCAGAACCATGATCCCTTGAATCCTACACACAAACCCCTAGCTCAAAGCAGCCAGAATTAATTTGCAAAGAGCTGCCCAGCTGAGCAGACAGCGGGGCAGACAGGGGGTGGTGGTGGTGTCTGGATTTAAGTGAAGCAGGTGGGTAGGGGTATGCCTCCACTGCTGAGTTTTTACACTTACAGAACCCCTTTGAAGAGGTGAAGAGTGGCTTGGTCTCAGCTGGGATAGAGTTAATTTTCTTCCTGGTAGCTGGTATAGTGCTATGTTTTGGATTTAGGATGAGAATAATGTTGATAACACACAGATGTTTTTAGTCCTTGCTAAGTAGTGTTTATACTAACTTAAGGATTTTTCAGTTTCTCATGCACTGCCAACAAGAAGGCTGGAGGGGCACAAGAAACTGGGAGGGGACATAGCCAAGGCAGCTGACCCAAACTAGTCAAAGGAGTATTCCATACCATATGACATCATGCCCAGTATATGAACTGGGGGGACTAGGCCAGGATGGGTGGCTTGCTGTTCAGGGACTGGCAGAGCACTGGTCAGCAGACGGTGAGCGATTGTTTTGTGTATCGCTTGTCCTTCTCAGATTTTATTTCATTCTCTGTTATCTTCCTTTTCATTAGAATAATAATAAAAATAATTGTATTTTATTTTTATTTCAATTATTAAACTGTTCTTATCTGAATCCACAAGTTTTACTGGTTTTCAATTCTCCTCCCCATTCCACAGGGGGGGGGGTTGGGGAGGAGTGAGTGAGCCGCTGTGCAGCGCTTAGTTGCTGGCTGGGGTTAAACAATGACAGTGTGTGGCTCTGTTCCCTGGAAGAAATCAGCTTAATAAACTCCGGTCATTTATGAATAACCGGACTATATCTCATACTATCTGGTCTGACTGAGACAGGGTATATATCATCAAGTCACAGGAGGCAGATGGGTAAATGCAACTGTCCTGTTCTTTCTATTTCCAGTACAGTAATTGAAAATATCTAGCTCCAAAGTATCTTTGGGTTATTGTTTTCCTCAACACTGAAGTCAGTGGCAAATCCAGGAAAGCTTATCAAAACCACAAATTACATTGAGACCAATGCCAAATGCTAAGAGTGGGCTTCAAGACTCTCTCAAATTGGACAGAGGTAGGACAAGGAGTGAAGACACATCCAAGTAAACAGAGGTAAGCTACAAATGAAGCACTACATTGCAGTTGCTCTAAGACAGCTTGCCTGTGCGCTCTTCCCTAAGTGAGAAACAGCTTTCTCCTTCAGAGACCTGCACCTCTCCAGCTCTGAAAGACAACATCTAATTCAGCAAGTCTAAGAGCATTCAAGGAAATCCCCAGAAGCAACCTAACCGTTCTGATTTAGTGATCAGATGACTGGTATCACCAAGACAAAGCTTTCCAAGAACAAAATACCAAGCAAAAGATAATAGATACATACCGGCAAATTCAATTTAATTGCATCAACAGGTTGGTAGAAAGGCCAAGCAAACTGATGCTTCCACAACGTCTTTACCACAACATTTTGCATATATTGCAATTGGTTGGTCTTCCGGCCAGGCTTATTAGGATTAGTGACCTCCGGAGGCGGCGGATTCACAGGGCCCTGAGGAGCCTGGATTGCTGATGTGACTGTCGACATTTTCCTGCTCTTGCTCTCACTCGCTGTCACAGCAGCAACAACTGGGAGATCTTCTTTCTTCCTTTATGCTCCCTGAACGGGACTGACATCCCATTTCCAGGGTCCAACCATACAACCTAGATCAAATGAGAGGAAGAGGACAATGTGTAAATACACTTACTTGAAGTAGGCATGTTAAGACACTTCTGCTGTTGATAGTGTTTGAACTGAGGCTCTTTACGCCATCTGCTTTGTTCCCTGTAACACACTTCATCTTGATGATGGGCACAGTTCAAGACGCAAGAGACAGTGGAACAGCAATTCCCAAATTCAAAGACTGCAAAGAGTCAGTAGGCTTCACAGGACTAACTCTTGCTTTATCTGGCTCAGAGACCATCTTCGTGCAAAGAAAACACATGGGGGTAGCGTAAGAATACAGTTAGGGAATACAGTTAGGATGTAATGCAGAGACTCCCATGAACGCACTAAGCCAAATCCATAGCTTGCAGCTCCATGTAAACTGAACTGCATTGTCTCTAGACCCATGCCAGCTGGCACTGAGTCAGCTTCCAAGTCTCTACGTTGGTGCATTGGTTAGTCTAAAATCCCATAATCAAGAGTGGACAACAGCTGCCAGAGGACCCCTATGCAGAGAAATGAAAGAAGGGGCATTGGGAAGTGCTGTGAACAACTGTGTATAAAAGGTGTCACCTTAAACATTGTAACTTGAAGTGATCTGCACTTTGAATCTCCTAAGTCTTACTACGTCCCTTACTACACATACCTAAGCCCTCAGTTTCGCACAGGAGCCTCAAGATACAGGCTCAATATAAATAATCATGAATATTATATCCCATGACCTGGCTAAGAGAGCACTGTCATGCTGTCTCTTAAAAACACAAACGAAATACTGAAGAATACACAAATTGCATTATTGTATTCTGTTTTTTCCTCAGCAAACTGCAGGGAAAAAAGATGGTCTAGTATCACTGTGTCTTGTATACCATATGGTAAACAGCTTTGCTATGTCATCCTCCGTAAACATTTGATATTTCAATTCACATCAGGACTGCAGCTACTTTTCTCATGGCAAACAGACCACAATCACTTTCTAGAGGCAAATTATTTCAAATATGTTCAAAAAGCCACACATATACTCTCACTGACATATGCTTCTTGGTTTCACAGAGAAACATGAGCGGAGACAAAAGCTGCAGTAATGCACGAAGAAGCATCCTAGGAAAAAACCCCAAACCCTCTTCTTTGATACATCCCTAATCATCCCTACTGAATATCTGAACTAAATATAGAACACCAACTTACACTTTTGAGCTGCTGATTAGATGATGGCCAAAAGTAAACACATACCTGATTTGGGGAAATTTTACAAAACTACATGTGTACAAACATAAACAGATCTGCCGCAGAGAGATGTTTAAATACAGGTCTTTTCAGGCTTGCCCAGGTAGTAGAGGCATTTGCATTTTGGAGGCCAGCTGCTGTCCCAGCAGCTCCACAACTGCAAGAGCATCCGGCATCCCGGTGACACTGTGGCACAGGGAACCACACTGTAAAGCAGCCAGTGCCCCGGGTGCCACAGCCATCAGGGACACCCCAGTGCTCTGGGTGCTGCAGCCACTGGGTGCACCTTGCTGTGGGTCAGTTTGGTTTGGCTCACAGGTGTTCCTGGCTCCAGAAATCAGACCTGGTTTGGTTTGGGTTTTTTTTTTGGAGTTAATTGTATAGTTAATTTGTTATAGTGCTTCTATGGAAAATTTAATTGTTAAAAACATAAAACAAATCTGAGTGTGAGTATACTTGTTTATGCTTGCAGACATGACCAGTTATGACTCTGACATCATACATTCACAAGATCCATTATATTCCAAGGATGCAGAAAAAGCACAGACAGCAGTAGAACTTTCTTGTGCCATGTGTATGGCACAAGTCTAGATCCAGAATTAGGTCTCTAGTCCCTATTCTTTGATAACTCAAGAGTCCAGCTTAGTAATTCAAAAAGCACTAGCCTCTGTTCTCCAGTCCTCTCATCTGGTCATGCTTCTGTTGGCAAGCAGCGTGATCACCAAACAGCCAAGAAGGATGCTGGCATCCTCTGGGCAAGGAATTTCAAAACTAAGATGTTACAAGGGATTTCAGATTTGGAAGAAACTGGGGAATCGTTTTCTCATGATTTTCCACCAACTCGAATCAGCAGCAGAGATGTTGCAAAATGCAATCTTCAGATCAAAGGGTGGGGGAATAGACAAAAAACTAAAAAGGCAAAAAAAGATAATTAGGAAGTTTCACTCGGTGTCCTTTTGGGCAGCTCTCTGCATGGATTTCAGACCCCAAGGCCTCTGAGCAACATCCATCATCCGAATGTATGCAATGCTGACTGCAGGCCCCCAGTGACCACCATTGAAGCATTTTGTTTGCTGTCTTCTTGATTAACAAACTGAATCCAATGCATGGATTGATGGGAAATAAAACACCCACAGAGAGCAATTCTTACTGCTATAGAACATTTCAGTCAAGTTTGAAACTACACAGTGTAATTTAAGTCTTCCCTTTAAAAACCCTAAGGTTAAATACAACAACTCTATTTTCATTTGAACTTCCTGATGTCCTCCTACCTCTCAAACTCCATTTGATATGGATTTTTAATTAATTTTTATTAAATCCCAGAACAGTAATTCAATAAACCACATCTCTAGCTCCTGCTTCTCACAGACCCTCTTGCTGACCTTAGACAAGGCATTCAGTATCTTCACACCACAGCTTCTCATCTGTGCTGTGGAGATAGTGACAGATCCTTTCTGTCTTCATCTGCTCCACCCAGCCAGTCTTCAAACTCTTTGGGACCTGCACTGCCTCTTCACATGCACATTTTGATCCTCAAGCTTAAACAAGGCTTGTACAGTCCGTATAGAGAGGCACGTAATAGTCATCAGTGACACAACTCAGAAAGGATTTTAATTAAGAACATTACCAAAAGTAGGAGAGGCAGAGTCATGACAGCCAACTCAGCTAGTCCCCTGACAGCTGACTGTCTTTAACTTACATGCTCCAACTCATTGGTTATTACAACCAAAAGTGGCTACAAACCTCAAACCTCTTAGCAGCACTGTCATTCAAATGCTGGATCTTGCAGCCAAAGGACAGGAATAGCTACCTGGGTTATCTCAGCAGCACTGGAAGTATCTGTTTCTGGCATAAATACAGCTTTGATGTGCATATGCCTCACTGCACGCTTTTAACCCTTGGTCCATCAGCTTCATCATCATTTGCTGGGGAAGCTGCTTTGATAACAGATCATTTAATTTTTAAAGCTAAAAATTTGTTTCTACATCCATTCCTTTACTTTTAAAGTTTCAAAATAATATTCAAGAGCGTAAAAAGAAGTATTATGAGGAATCTGGAACGTGAGGGTGCAAATGCTTTGAAAATGTCCAAAAGTGTATGGCATTGAATTCAGAGAGGCCAAGGCCCTGCTTGAGAAATGTACTAGCTGTCAGACCTCATTTATTAAAACAGGAAAGTGAAAGCATGACTATCTGACATCCCAACTTACTATACAAATTGTCCAACAACATTTAAGTAGATTCACGAACAAAAACAAGCAAGCTTACATAAATTGTCACATAACTACAAGTAGAATCAAAATACACAGCTCTAGTCTAAGCACTTCAGGATCTGCTGAAACTGCATTAGTATCAATAATTATTTAAACTATTAGGGAGCCCAGCTGTGAATCAGGACATCACCGCACAAGATGCTGTACAAGCCTAGAACAAAGACTGCCAAAGCCAGCCTTGGCACAGACATCATGCGCACCTTCCAGTGAGGGCCTAAGGTTGGACTTCTTTTGGCCCTGGAGTAATAATTTTTTAAATTTAAATTTTTAAATTACTACTTATCCTGTTCCTCAGACCTGTAATGTTGAAGTAACAGAAGCTGTTATTGATTTTTCTGGCCGCACATGTACAGTTTTGATATTACAAATTTAAAGTACACCCTTTTGCTGTCATACATGAAGAGTGTACACTGCTTCCCACATTGTGCATTTCTCCTCCTTCTTACTCATCCCAGTTTGAGACAGTAATTAAAAGCAAAACCCAAACCCTAACTCTCAAATAAATCTTGCTTCTCTGGAGTTTAAGTCTGTCCTTTTGCGCTAAGTTGCAACCTCAGTGTGGCATCCAGCAAAGCTATGGGGTTTGGCACATCCCTCAGCCAAACCAGTCATCAAAAAAACCCAGCTACGTTGGAATGATTTTTTTTTTTTTTTTTTAAACTTTTATTTCGTTGAGTTGCTTGCATGGGTCAGTCAGTGGAGAGACAGCTGGCATGGAGAAAACATGTTAATAATTCCCTGTACTAGCAGAATAACATTTTACTCAGTTGATGCAGCCCACAGACTGTCTGCAGTGGTGGAGACTATTTTAAAAGAAGCTATAAAGCCCCATGAAATGTGCACTGTGCCAGTAAGCCTGCTGCTTCAGCTAACGGTTCTGCCACTTCCTTTGGCAGTGCCGAACATTTAACGGATGGCTCACTCCCTTGCTGCTGTCCGTGAAGTACAGGATGGCATTTGTTTTGATTGCAAAATTAGAAGGTAGCGAGCTTTATGTTAGCATGTGAGCTCAACTTTTTTTCTCCCTTGGTATAGTCTTTCTGTAGGTTGGACACTGATCAAAAATGGGCACCATTCCAGCCCAGCTAGAAAAAGAAACATAAATCTTCCCATCATGGAAAATTATCAAGTTTAAGAGATGTTCCTTGACCTCATCTTTATCTCCACATTATTATTTACATTACAGTAGCACATGCAAGCTGTGCAGAGAGAGACCAAGGTCCCTCGGTACTTAGCGCTCTGCAGACACACAGTAAGACCCTGTTCCCACCTCAAAGAGCTGGCGCACACAACACACGCTTCACACCGGGGAGAAACGACCTGCCCAAGGCCACCCAGCGAGCCCGCGGCAGAGCCCTGAATCCCAGCCAGTGCCTGGCCCCGGTTCCACCAGCAGCCCGTCACAGAAACGGCGCCTCCGAAGCAGCGCTGCTCTCACAGGCGTGAAAGGCAGCGACTGAGCCTTTCTGAAGGTAGGACGGAGCCAGCAGCCAGAACCGCACC